AAGATACTTCTGTTCAAAAAGAAATCATCATTCATTGAACATTCAATTCAATATAAAAACCTTTATTCAACCATTCTGGGTATGACGATAAACTACATCCAGCAGCAAGGTGTCTGATTAGGAGGTTTTTGTGAAGCCACTTCTCAATTGCTGTTGTTCCTAAGTCTATCCTGACTGAGTGGTAGCACCTGTTAGGGTTCTAACTATGGGAAAATAGTGAATCCCTCAAAACTGGTGTCAAAACACTATGAAAGTATAAAAATACATTTATATAGTAAAAATACCAGCAATAGTAAAAAAAAAATTAAAAAAAATACTAGTAATACATTTTTGTAAAAAAAGAAAGAATTACCCACAATACATACAAAAAAGTTACCAATAATACATTCTTCTAAAAGAAATTACTAAAGCTCCCAAGAAAATTAAATTTCAGCATAAGGAGTTGATATGTCGCTAAACAAACCTTTATTCAAAATTGAAGTTACTCTCATTCAAAGCATTATTCACTACAATAAAGAGAAGAATTCAAAGTAACAAGGCTTTTAATAAACTGAAAAACACCATTGTTTGTATATTGCAAACTACTTTTGCCCATTTGAGATGAAGGAAAAAAAATTAAAAGAAGAAAACTATTTTTCATTGATACTAACATAGAAGTGTTAAGATATTGGAGCGTTGGTCAAATATTTTTGGCAAAATTCTGTCATGTGAGAATAAAAAAAAAATGCTCATTTACAGAAAAATCCTTCAAAATCTGAGTAAACATATTTATAATTGCTCTGTATTGCTTGAAGATAATTTGAAAGATTCTTGTATTGTGTTTAACACTGGACAAAATCTAAAAAAAATTATACATATATATATCTAATAAATAAAATAAAAAATATCTAACAGTCCATTACTTGTAATTGTCCTTAGCACGACACTTGAGTGGTGGAATTTCACATTTTCCATAGTTAATAACTGTGTCATTACTTTCAATAAGAGTATCTACTTTATTTTGGATAAAGTTATCTTTTATATTGCAAAATAGGGCAAGGGTGTGTTCAAGTTAGGGGAAACACCTAACCAATTTCTCTCCCATTGACTAAAGGTTAATAGACAGAGAAGAGATAAAGACAAGAGAGAAGGAAACACTGCCTCAGAAACTAAAAATTTAGAAACAAAATGTCCAAAGGAACGACATCACAAGGAACAGAGTCTTACCAACTGCTGGTTTTCTAGACATTTTTATTGACAGAAACCCAGATCTAGACAAGTTGCAGAGAGGCCTATATACGTGAACATGTCAAGCTGTTCTGCTGCTAATGGAGAAAATGCAGATGTAATTGCTTTTGACAGACATGTCTGCAAATGATCTGGGTCCACTTTTACGTTTGTACTGATGCGCGTTTGCCACATTTTATATGGGATAAAATAATATTTTCGATAGATAATAGTTTTTTTTTTTTATCTTAATAGCAGTCTCTTTTTGAATAAAAATATTTTTTGATTTGAATAAAGGTATCTGACTTCAGAGTTATTCCCTGACTCTTTAATTTGATTACATCACAACTTCTGCGTATGAGCGTGGTAAGATTAGGTATCGCTAATTAGCCGAAAAAGAGGATACCATGATGAAAAAAGGCCCCAAACTTGAGAAAAAAAAATATTTATAATATCAAGAGGAAAGGCCAACATTATTTTATTAAATTTTTTCATCCTTTTTAGAACATTCAAAATTTTGATTAAAAAGTTTGTTTTTTTTGTTTTTTTGTACCAGCAGAATACCATTAACTTTTACCACACTGTAGGTGGCAATAGTCGCCGTAGAATTCTCTCCCTTGCTACTCTAGGCGCATTCTGTCGCCTTGAGATGGTTACTAAACATTTGTTAACTGTTATTTACGGTATTTTAAGCTGGAAATCGCCTACTAATGCTTTGGAACAAGGCTAAACTTCCAACGCCATTTTGAATTCTAAACACGAGCAAACATCCCTTTTTGACAAAATGAAAGCCTTAGTTCTTATTGCATCCCAGAATCCCACAAGGAGTAATACAAGATAAAGTACGTTAAATTATTTATGTATTTTTTTTAATGTATTTGTTTTATATTTTGCGTTTCAAACATCAACGTAATGCATTAACAAAATATTACTCAGCCATTCTTTTATTAGTATACAAAAAATAAAATCTATACACACAATACAAAGAAAGTTACTACAATTTTAAAACAGTAGGTGTTCATGTTTTTGTACCCCCCTCCCCCGCAAAAATGCAGTTGCATAGGCGACAACTCTAGAAAGAAGTGGTAAAGGTTAAAAAGCATGTCTTAATCACGGTGACTTGTTTTGTGGACATTAAAAGTTAAAAATCGATGTATTGACAGCTTAGGTCAGGGGGAAGTTATGTGACGGAAGAATAAAAGTGAACTAATTTAACTACACAGTAATTTTTAAAAATTAAATATTTCCAGTAATTTAATATTTTAATGATTTTTTTTTTTAGGTACTTTTATTCTAACCTTACGTTTGAAGGGGATTTTTGTAAAAATAAAATTTTAAATAACAAAATAAATTTTAAATTTCATAACACTAACTAATTTCATAAGAGACTTACCTAATTTTTTTACGGACATATCTTATGAAATTTTATGGTATAATTTTTATTATTAATTTTATATCTCAGTTATGAAAAATTTCACGATTTAGATATAAAAATTAATAATACCCTAAAATGTCATGATGGGTACCTGTTTCGAACGTGCTAGAAAGGATTTAAAAAAAAAAAAATAAATAAATAATCAAAAATACTTTAGGCTTTCCTTAAACATTTTGACGATAAAACGTTGTTTTTATTGAGTTTAGGAACTTTTTCATCATGCTATGCTGTTTTTTTGCAAAAAAAAAAAAAAAACAAACAAAAAAAAAAAGGAGGGACCTAGGTACCTTTCTCATTTTTATGAAATGTTATTTAATGTGTTTATTTTTAATTTTTCATATTAATTATTTTGTTCTCGTCCCTACAATTGAAACTAAAAAAGAAAATCAATAATTGTAGTATGTCTCACTGAAAAACAATAAAATTAATTATATTTAAAAACTTAAATTAGAATATTTATTGAAATAGGGCGTAAAAAATTGTCTATTTCTGAGAGGAGGAATTATATACATTATTTGCATTATTCGGACTATATTGTCCTCATCTTTGTCGCCATATTTATTGCGTTTCGGCCCTTGTACGCCCCGGCTTTCTTCAGGTGGTTGGAATGTCTGACTGAACCCTTTATTTCGCTCACTGCAAGTTCTCCACTGCCTAACCGGGTATTGAACTCACTCTTTGGGTCCTGTCACTGGATCTAACCAACGCCTTTATCCACTGTGCCATGTGTGAATTGAGAACTGATAACTGACATCCATTAAACATGGTACGTGGAACTAGAACAGTCAACCCCAGTGAGCAAAATAAAGGGTTCAGTTTGACATTCCAACCAGAAGGTCGGAGCATACAACGGCCGAAACGTTGTAATAAATATGGTGACAAAGATAGAGGACAATCGTCTGAATAATGTAAATAGTGGACGTAAAAACTTTTAAAAATGCGACGATGGTCAAAATCAAAATTCAACACATGTTTGCAGTATGAATGCAAACTTTTTCTGAGTCATGTTATTCATTGACTTCAGGAGAAACAACTCTTAAAACACGTGACATTAATGTCACTTACGATCATCCATATATTTGGAAAAAAAAAAAAAAATTATGCCCACTCAAAAATAGTGTAAAATTCTTTCTGAAAATACATGTGGATCGCAGATAGATCTACTTAACAGCATTCCCTAAACTGCACGGATTTAAACTTAATTTTAAATTTAACTATCATATTTTGTATTTAAAATTGGAAAGATTAAAATTCGTAAAGATTCATTTTTCATTGGAAAAATATTTTGGCTTCCAGACAATATTGTCATAAATATATTCATTTAAGCATTTAAAAACTTTTCTAATTAAATAATATCTTAGTTTTATTGAGTTTTATGTTACAATTTAGAGATGAATTTTCGGTAACTGCGCGATTCGATTTCACAAAAAGTCGATTTATATTCTTCAAAGTCTTCTGCTTTTAACTAAATTATAATCAATAAAAGTCACGTCGTCGAATTTCTCGAGTTTTCATAAAATTAAGTGTGGGGGGTTACAGATGTGAAAAAAATCTCTCTAAAATAATTTAATTCATTTGTGAATAAGTCCTGATTTCATTAAAATCAGGCAATTATTTAAATTTTGTGAGAATTTCCAAATCAATTTGTTTTTCACCTGAAAAAAAGCTGCTGAAACACTAATGGTAAATATTACGTAGACCGCTGATGTAAAAAAAAAAAAAAAATTTTAACAAATTTCGAACGTGCTAGAAAGGATGAAAGAATAAAATAATAAAAAAATACTTTGGTATTTCCTCTTTAAAACTAAACATTTGACGATAAAACTTTATTAAGTTTGGGACTTTTTTTTCATCATGCTATGCAGATTTTGGGGGCGAATTAGTGAAGATACCGAGGTAAATGTGGTGAACTACTGCAGAAGGCAAAAAGGCCCAGAATTGTATGTATTTTTTGCAACGCTAGAATAAAATCAAGAATAAAATAACTTACCCAAGCGCGAGCAATGATTCGAACGCGCCTCCCGTGTAAACTGTCCAAAGAAAGAAATGGCGGCTTCACGGATTACACATCTAAAATAGCTAGATCTTGATATTTACTTGACCGCCCCACTGAGTCAGGTTGTGACACAAGGTCAGTTTTTAACGTGGGGACCCCGAATGTTTTCACTCGGGCCACTGGTCCAAACTGGTCTTGGCTTGTCCTATCTGGTCCAGGCCGGAGCCGGTCCAAGCTAGTCCTAGTCGTAATACCACCAGCCCAGAGCATACTTAAAAGTATGATCTGTGTCTAAAATAGCTAGATCTTAGAGTAAGATACTCTCTCGCGAGATTATCTTTGCGCATATGCAAATTTTGGCTGTCAATGATACATAAGAACGAGGTGGCAAAAAGAAAAAAAAAGGAAAAAGAAAAAAAAAAGGAAAAAAAAAGGAAAAAAAGGAAAAAAAAAAAAAAAAGGAAAAAGAAAAAGGAAAAAAAAGAAAAAAAGGAAAAAAAAAAAAGGAAAAAAAAAAAAGAAAAAAAGAGAAAAAAAGAGAAAAAGAGAAGAGAGAAGAGAAGAGAAAAAGAAGAGAAAGAGAAAAAGAAGAGAAAGAGAAAAAGAAGAGAAAGAGAAAAAGAAGAGAAAGAGAAAAAGAAGAGAAAGAGAAAAAGAAGAGAAAGAGAAAAAGAAGAGAAAGAGAAAAAAGAAGAGAAAAAGAAAAAAGAAAGAGAAAAAGAAGAGAAAAAGAAAAAGAGAAAAGAAGAGAAAAAGAAAAAAGAAGAGAAAAAGAAAAAGAGAGAAAGAGAAAAGAAGAGAAAAGAAAAGAAAAAGAGAAGAGAAAGAGAAAAAAGAGAGAAAGAGAAAAGAAGAGAAAAAAAAGAGAAAGAAAAAGAAAAAGAAAAAGAAAGAGAAAAAAAAAAAAAAAGAAAAGAAAAAAAAGAAAAAAAGACGGTTGACTGCGGTGTTGCACCCCCACTTTTTTTTTCATCTCGACTAGGTCAGCTTTCCTCTCTCCTCGTGATCGTATTTATTTTACCCCCTCTATTGGCGAGAGAGCCTCCTGATTTTGTCTAAAGGCAGAATACAGCAGCTTATCTTTAATTTGTTTCAGAGTGTCTATATTTCTGAGATGAGGTATTATGTATATTATTTGCATTATTCAGACTATTGTCTTCATCGCCATATTTATCACAACGTTTGACCGTTGTATGCTCCGGCCTTCTTCAGGTGGTTAGAATGTCGAACTGAACCCTTTATTTCGCTCACTGGGGTAGACTGTTCTAGTTCCACGTTTGATGGATGTCAGCTATCAGTTATCTCCTGTTAATTTTCCCTCTGAAATTTCTCCACTGCCTTAACCAGGTATTGAACTCACACTCTTTGGGTCTTGTCACTGGATCTAACCAACGCCTTTATCCTCAAGGACACATGGCACAGTGGATTTTGTTTGTTTTGATATTTAAGTTTGTTTTTAAGTTCCTCCCCTCCCTGCTCATTGTATTTCATAGATTTTTATAGATATATAATTGATATTCTATACAACAGATATTGTATAGAATTTTATGCTCATCAAATTTTTATATCATTGGGTATGTTTTTGTAGGTTCCCTAAGAGTATGCGGTATTATGGTATATGGAGGATTGAGTAGTGATTGATAGGTTCTTGTGGTGAATGTGAAAATTGTAACGAGTGAATGGGTCGTGAATCGAATTAGTTTAGGTATAAAATTGTGACAACCAGCCTCGACCCATTCCTCACTTTAGGTCTTGTGCCAAAATTGTATTTTTTTCATACAATAAATCTCAGTTGACAGCGGTCTTGAACTGGCTGCACGTGTCGGACACTGAGTGAGAAGAACCTTATGACAGACATTGGTAGCAAAGAAAAAATTAACGTTTTTTTTGCTACAATAAGATTTGTCTATTACAGTCAACTTAATTTCGGTATTGGCCTCCAAAACCAACCAGACATTAAATGATAAGTTATGCTCAAAATAAATATTAAGCGTGTGTATGTATATATATATATATATATATATATATTATATATAAAGTCTTGTTTTATAATTACGAAATGTTAATATCACTAATCAACTGAAAAATAAACGATTTTTATCTCCACACAAAACTGATAGAAACCAGTCATCTCAATAAAAAAATTCAAGCCGGTGGAAACGTATTTGTCAGATTGATTCTTAAAAAAAGTTGTTGCAATCGATTCGTAAAGCACCGAAATTGTTGATTTAAAAAAAAAAAAACAACAAACATTGCCACATTGGTGGAAGAACAGATATCAACACTCTACGAAATCAGTCAGTTATGTGCCATGCATGATACACGCTTTCGATACATGACTGACGAGGAAGATTTTTTCCCTGCAGTAGGTTGCCATTTCTTTCAGCAGTAGACAAGTTGCCATTCAAGGTCTGTCCTGGTATTTACCCATAACTGGGGGGGGATGAGGATTCATACCTTTGCCAAGGGTATTAGCACGTAAGTGGATTCGATTGGAATTCGAACTCGGCTCTCCGATTCCTCAATCCAAGTGGCTATCCATTACTCCACCGTGCCTCCCCAAATTGTTTCTTGTAAGTTTTGTCACTAGGCTTAGCACAAAACCAAACGTACCGGAACACTGACTTAGTGATTTTATTTGGACGCAACAATTGCGTTTTCCCCGCATATGTTTTCTTATGCTTGTGTATTTGCGATAGAAATAATTTGTAAAAAAGAATTAGAAAGAAGTAAATCTATATTTTTAAAGTTTTATTGAAATTTTATTTAAGTTTCCACATGTCCTCCATCATTAACAATACAAAGGGTAATACGATTTTGCATTTCACGGAAAATATTTGCCAACTGATTTACAGTAATGCCTGAAATCACATCAGTTATTTTAGCTATACTTAAAACTAGGTACATTAAACTTTATAACATTTTTTACAGATTATTTCTATCGCAAATAGAAATAAACTTATAAATTTTTTAAAGTGCACACGAATTTTATGGACACCCTGTATAAAAGAAAGAAAATGAATTAAAATAAGGCATTTGTGTTTTCCTTTAAAATCCTTATTTCTTTCTCTCTTCTAAACTTCCTTCTATACTTCTCTCTCAACTAACGAGAAGGAAAGTCTTAAATAAAAAAATTAAGAAAAAGCTGAACCTGTCTGAAAAACTCCGAAAGTTTGCAAGAGCAGTGCTTATTTATGACAAAAATACCAAAAATCAAGAAGGTTCCACACACAACTTCCATTAGTTTAAAAAAAAAAAAAAAAAAAATGACGCCAAAAATAAAATATTTTTGGCCAATCAAAAAACAAAAATCGACAGATTTTTGATGTTAGGCGAAACCAGTGTTCGCGCCAAATTCTCGAGCCTGGTCAAAGAATATAGGCCTGACAGGCAGGTTCGATGAGGAGAGGACGTTTTAAAAAAAAGAACGCTATCGCGTAGAAACCAGTCATACGTGACACATGAAGAAGCAGTTAAGAGGTCATTCCTCCTGCTCGGGGCAGAAAAAAACAAAACAAAAAAAAACAAAAAACGTTCAATTGATATTGACCTAATTTCTGATTTTACTACTATCCATATCCGAGTCTGACTTCAAACTACCATTGCAAATATTTCGGCTACAAATATCCGCCTCAATAACGAACTTTTGCTACGCCGAATACCAAAGGCCTCGCTCATCACTCTAAAGAAAAAGAAAAATCTATTATTTTAAACCCTTGAGTCAGTTTGTTTTATTCCTAAAGTTTCCGATAAAATAATTATCCTATCAGTACTATATCCACACTGGTGACCTTCTGATGTGGACACACTTGCCACATTTGCATACACATGACATATCGGGGGGGGGGGAATTGTTATGCTCTGCTTCAATGAGCGAGACTAGCTAAGTTAAGCTAGAAAAGACCGACATTCTCCATTTTATACTTCATGGCCAAATAAATAAATCATAGAAAAAACCTATGCCTAAGTAAAAAATTAAAAAAAGTAGATTTTCCAAAAAACAGAACGAAAATAATTTAACACTTTATTAAAAGTTACTTTTGCTATGACTTCAACTAAAGTGTGTCTATATTTCTGAGATGAGGTATTATGTATATTATTTACATTATTCGGACTATTGTCCTCATCTTTGTCGCCATATTTATCACAACGTTTCGGCCGTTGTACACTCCAGCCTTCTTCAGGTGGTTGGAATGTCGAACTGAACCCTTTATTTCGCTCACCGGGGTAGACTGTTCTAGTTCCACGTGCCATGTTTGATGGATGTCAGTTATCAGTTACCTCCTGTTAATTTCCCTCTGAAAGTTTTCCACTGCCTTAACCGGGTATTGAACTCACACTCTTTGGGTCCTGTCACTGGATCTAACCAACGCCTTTATCCACGTGCACATGGCACGTGGAACTAGAACAGTCTACCCCGGTGAGCGAAATAAAGGGTTCAGTTCGACATTCCAACCATCTGAAGAAGGCCGGAGTGTACAACGGCCGAAACGTTGATAAATATAGCGACAAATATGAGGACAATAGTCCGAATAATGTAAATAATGTTCAACTAAAGTATTTTCAAACCTGTAAACCGGGGAATTAATATCAGTCGCTTAACAATTTTTCTCTTTTGAGTAGAGTTCTCAATCCATTCTTAAACGACAGATCTTGGTTGAACTAAATTCTAGGCAAAGGATTCCTTGTTGATATTGTAAGTTTGATGATTATTGGTTTAAACTTGCGAGAATTATATGATATTAAATTTATGTTCAGTTGGTAGTAGTAGTAATCCTTTAAACTATGTGGATTTAAGGGTCCAGCTAAAGTAGAATATAGGAGAACGGATATTTAATCACTTCTGGTTCCTTTGTCTGGTCGTCTGTCCTTTTACATTTTTCCGAGATAAAGGAATTAATTTCAAAATTGTTTCTTGCTTTCTGATTGGTGCACATGTATGACTCATTTGACAATCCTTTTTTTCATCTACATTTAGGAATGATGTCCTTTTGACCTTTTTTAAATCTTTATGGCAAACCAAAATGGTTCTGTAATTTTTTTTTTTTTAAATAGTGACATTCTATTTTTTTTACCATTACAGTATCAGACAAACAGCAAAGAAATTGCGTATGGAACTGGAGAATGGTTGATGTAATTTAGCAGGATGACCACTCAGATGTCTAAAATCAGGTGTGGACAATTCATGATATCCACCTTCCTACAAAAAAAAAAAAAAATTCAATAATTTGTAAACCTCAGCCAAGTCCATTCCTTTTAATCTGTGGCTTAGCTCGTGTTTTTGCTGCCTTTCCCCAGAAGGAATGCAATATTACAATGCACATTAACCTTATATATATAATGGACAACGTCCGACAATTATTTTTAAGGCATTTTTTATGATCATATGTATTGACAAAAAAGAAGACGATAGTCCCATCGAAGGCTAGCAAAAAAGACGATAGTCCCATCGAAGGCATTTAAACTTGAAAATTCGTTTTTTTGTGCGTGTGTGAAATTTGTATAGGCCTATGTGATAGAAACGAGTGTGAAGGAGTTCAAAGTAGTGAGTATGTAAACTACATTTTAAGGCCAGAGTTGAAAAACTGTAAAAGAGACGAATGGTGTGGAAAATTTGTCTAGGCTTTCCCCACATGAAAGGAAAATGTTAAAGGTGACAGAATCGATAAAAGCAATGACGACTTGAAAGTTTAGAGCGAACAATTCTTTTTTTTTTAGGCGGAAGAATGAAGACTCAGACTTCTGCTCGGGGTATAACATCGAAAAAAAAAAAAAAAATGTTTATTTACAAACATAAAAAAGGTAAAGTGATAGACACAAAATATGAGAAAAAAAGAAAATTCCTTTAGCTGAAAAAAAAATTGTTTATATAAATATAGAAGTGTTCAAAGTATTTCTCTGTGTGCCTAGAAGTTCTTTAAACAGATAAATCGTTCTTAAG